CCCCCGCACCCAACTAACAGAACTCTGCTGCATAAATTATAGCACTAGATGCAGCTATATAGACCCATACCAAAATAGGGACACACATTTCACAGGGGCCACTCAATACTACCCAATGATCCTACTGTATTACCCCCAGTAAGTATGATTTTCCACAATCTAAGGTTATCTATGCTTCTAAATGTAACGCAACTGTGTTAATTTCCTAGGGAGGCCAAAACACATTACTGCAACTGGGTGGCTTAAAACGACAGAAATTTATTCTCTGGCAGTTCTGCAGGCTACCAGTCTGAAATCAAGGTGTCAGCGAGGTTGGTTCCTTCTGGTGAGCTCTGAGGGAGAGTCTATTACAAGTTTCTGGAGGTTGCCAGTAGTCATTGGTGGCTTTTGTTGGGCTGTAGATGCATCACTCCAATCACTTCCTCCTTCATCCGATGGTGCTCTTACTGTGTGTCTGTGTGTCCGATATTCCTCTTCTTATAACGACACCATTCACTGGATTAGTGGAGTATGACTAATCCTAATGCTGCGGGCCCTCATCTTAACTTGACTTTTTGTTTTTTATTTTATGTTTTTGCAAAGACCCTATTTCCAAATAAAGTCACATTCACAGGTACTGGGGCTCAGAACTTGAGCATATCTTTAGGGGCGAAACTGAACCCACAACAACTGCTCTTGTACATTTTGATTACTCCAATATTCTACAATTTTCAATGAAAAATTAGGACACACAGATAAGCAGACATTTCCTCTTATTTCTCTGTGAAAACAAAGGCCATAGCTGGGCGCCGTGGCTCTCGCCTGTAATCCCAGCACTTTGGGAGGCTGAGGCAGGTGGATCACCTGAGGTCAGGAGTTTGAGACCAGTCTGACCAACATGGTGAAACCCCATCTCTACTAAAAATACAAAAATTTAGCTGGGCACGGTGTGTGCCTGTAATCCCAGCTACTCAGGAGGCTGAGGCAGGAGAATTGCTAGATCCCAGGAGGCAGAGGTTGCAGTGAGCCAGGATCACACCATTGCACTCCAGCCTGGGGGACAGAGCGAGAGTCCAATTCAAATAATAATTTAAAAAATGTAAAAAAAGAAAACAAGGGCCGTGAGACAGGAGCTCCTCTGCGAACCACCTGACACCCATCCCGGCTTTCTCTTCCTTCTCTCTTGTAATAATGAAAGGACATATCAGCCCCTTCCCAGGGCTGACCCTCCACTGAGTAGATGGAACCATTCTCTTGAAACATTTTATCTGAGGATGTTGCTTCTACTGCTGTTGCCTCTCTTCATCCCGCATCAACAACCATTTTTTTAAAAAATCTTTGCTTCTAATGGAATAACATACAAGCATACACAAGAATCACCCATCTTAAAAACGTCACAGACAAGGAACTCCCATCTTAAAAAAAGTACATAGATAAATAAGCTTCCTTGGCCTCATTTCCCCTTCAGTCCCATTCTTGTGCATCCTGCCCCCACAGCAAATGCTATTTCAAGAATCACCTCTACTCACTTCCTGAGCTCCCATTCCCTCCTTATTCCTCTGGCATCAGGCTTTTATCCCCATCATGCCCCTAATTTGCTCTTAAGATGACAGGAAACCTCCACATCACCAAATCCAGTGGTCAATATGCTAAGCTCTCATCACTCAACCTCTTAGTGTTTGACGCAGCTGAGGACTCCCCATTTCTTGCAATAAGGTCTTCGGTCTTCTGTGTGACCACCCTCTCCTAGAAATGCTCCTTCTTGGCTTCTTTTGTGAGATCTTCTTCCTATCAGGATCAAGAGTGCTCCAGGGCCCAGGCCCTGAATGGTTTCTCTATCCACATGCGAGCCCCATGGCATCTAAATGCAGGTAACTCCCAATCCCATATGTATACTGAGACACACACAGGTTGTCCGATAGACATCTCAAGGGTAAGGTGTCCAAAATTTCATATGTCCTGAGCTTCCTTCAACCCCTGCACCTCTAAATCTTCTCCATCTCAGACAATGTCAGCTCAGTTCACACAGTGTGTTGACATCATGTCCCCGCCATAACCGTTAGTTTTCTCCATTTTCTTTACACACTCCATGCCATCCATCAGCAAAAACTATCAATCCTTTGAAAACATACCTGAAGTCCCACCACCTCTAAAGAATGATTGAAAAAAAAAATCATTGGGTCAAATTTGTTAGGTTCCATCATGGCACAGAAGAAAGTAGAAAGAACCAAAGCGAAAGCAGCCACTCAGACAGATGAAAACATGCCCCAAATCCTTCCATGTGTCCCTGCTGGCACAAATAGAGCTAATAATGGATGCTGCAGCAAGAGATTGGTGCTAAGAAATAGCCTTAGAAAAAGGTAAGAAATAGCCTTCGCTGGCAAACTTCACTAAGTAAGACTCAGCCTCCTCTGCAGGGATCAAACTCTGCTGGCAGAGAAGCTACAGGTAGATTCCAGCACCAGGAAGACAGGTCCCTGCTGAGAGAATACTGCAGAACAAAGAAGGGGCTCTTCTCTACCACCTTGCTGAAAACATTATGAATGATCTTTTGTGGCTGGAGATTCCTCCAGAGGCTGAGAATACATCAGATGAGAAATGGCTGCTGGGCCTGAATGTCAGGGGATGAATTCCACTGGGCCACAGAGCAGCTGTGTGCCCTCTCTTTCCTGTTTGCATCCATGACTTGGCTATAGAATGGACACGACACCACTGGGACTTCTTTCATAGGATTCTTTGTGAGGATTAAATGACGTGTGTGTCCCAAGGCCCTTAGTCCAGTGCTTGGCATATACAAGGGCTGGACACAAAGTAGATTAACAGCAATTCTGAACAGGGATGCCATGCACCCCATTAAACCTTCTCACTTTTTCACTTCTCCCATGAGCAAAATGCACACCTTCACAAGTATCCATGAAGCAATCATTCAGTGCCAGATTCCAGCAAAGATATAATCATGTGATTTGCTTTCTTGGCTTCTAATGACCTGCATGTTTCACCCTCAAATCAGGGAGACTGAGTCCGACTGAAAATATTGAAAACAATCTGTCCGTGGTTATGGCCATCAAAAACCTCTTATCACAAACACCTGCTTACTTTTCTTTATGTCACTAATTGCTAGACAGAAATTCTTACTTATTCATATGCTTATCAGAGTGTTGTCTGTCTCTTCACCCTTTTGTGTCAGCTTCATGACTGCAGAGCTTTTGTTCGTTGTCACTTTTTTGTCTGCTGGGACCTCAGCATCTACAACAGTGCTGGGCACATGGAAGGTTCTCAATAAATACCCCAGCAATTAATTGAATCAGAAAAGGGTAACATCCTGAACCATTCCAGGCAACCTGAGAAAGGATCTGGTTTTAAGGCAATTCACACCTAATCTGAATACTTTGCTTTCCTATGTGCATCTGTCTAAACAGTATTTGGCCTCATTCAGGGTAATGTTACAGCCGGCTGTAAACGTAAGAGCTGTAGCTCCGAAGACACTAGATCCCAGCTCAACTCAGCTTTTTCCTGGTTTTGCAACCTGTCCCCAGGAGTCTGACCACAGCAGAAACTTATAATGATTATAGACCAATATGTTGGGTTCTCTTGCATATCAGTGACTCAGTCTCCCTTGTGTACATGAGCTGCGCCATGGAGTAAAATGTTACTCCTTCCATTACAAAAGCTACACTGGCAATAAGTATGGACTAGTGTTTAGACAAACATTTCTATAAAAATAAAATGACAAGGTTTAGATGACATGTACCAATACCTATATTATTCATTATGATTTAATGGATGGGGACAATTCTCATCCATGGGAATTTTGGGATCCTCATGGGATGGGAGTTTTCTGAATCCATACCTTTGTTTTTCAAAACACAATGAGTGTATGGATTGCTTTTATTTGTTACAGAATGTCAATATCTGCTCTCTGTTGTCTTAGCTTGGTCCACTATTACACAGTACCACAGACATTTATATTGCACAGTTCTGGAGAATGGGAGGTCCAAGAAGAAAGTGCTGATTGATTGGGTTCTGGGCAAGGGCTCTCTTTCTGGCTTGAAGATTGTCAACTTCTGGCTGTTTCCTCCCGTGGAGGAGTGGGAGCAAATGCTGGCTTCTCTTTCTCTTCTTCTAAGGATACTAATCCCATTATGGGGCTCTACTCTCATGACCCTATCTAAGCCTAATAGCCTACCAAAGGTCCCACTTCCATCTACAATCACATTGAGGATTACGGCTTCAACAAAGGAATTTTTGGGAAACACAGATGTTCAGTCCCCCTAACCACTGTGAGGTATGTTCTTCATGCTGTCAAAATAACTTGTACCTTTCCTTTTGTTTCCTTTCTATTTATTTATTTATTTATTTTTGAGATGGAGTCTCCCTATGTCACCCAGGCTGGAGTGTGGTGGTGCAATTTTGGCTCACTGCTACAACCTCGGCCTCCTGGATTCAAAGGATTCTCCTGCCTCAGCCTCCCCAAGTAGCTAGGACTACAGGTGCGTGCCACCAAGCTCACATACATTTTCTTGTATTTTTAGTAGAGATGAGGTTTCACCATGTTGACCAGGCTGGTGTAAAACTCTTGACCTCAGGTGATCTGCCCACCTTGGCCTCCCAAAATGCTGGGATTACAGGCATGAGCCATGTGCCTGGCCACCTTTTCTTTTCCTTCAATGGAACTTCAACAATGGTGAAATTATGAATTACAGGACTCAGGGTAAGTTCACAATGACACTCAAGCTATGCCCAAAGCTCTGAATATATCCCTTTCCCTAGGTCACAGCTGCCTGGCTAAATGTTCTGTTAGACGAAAGCATGAAGTTTCATGGGGTGTACTTGTGGGATTTTAGTATAACCCTTCCCAGTGGGTAAGCAGCTTGTCCTTCCCTCGAGGGACTCTGTGTTTGTACGTTTCTTCATGACTTCAACTATTCTGCACCTCTGCAACAAAGTGGCTCACAGAGGCTCATGTACAGCAGAGTCGGCTTTCTATGGTTGTTTGTGTTGTTTAAAAATCAACAGAGGTCTTAATGCATTGCTCAACAATTTTATTCCTAAGGAACCAGCGATGAATGAACCACAGCTAAACATCGTTGCTGGCCCAATCATTCAGTCATTGAACTTAACATTTTATCTGCCCCTTGAGTCTTCCAGGCACTCTTCTAAGTGCTTGGTGATGCTTTGATGAAAACAGAAAAAACAAACAAACAAACAAACAAAGAAAAAAAACAAAAAACAAACAAACAAACAAAAAACAGACCAGAAGACATCCTGCCATTGTGGAGTTTACATTCTAGTATGGGGAAGAAGGAACAAGGGAAACAATAAACATCGCAAGTTATGAGGGTGACAGAAGATGAAAGAGGCTATGGAGCAATACAAATTGTACAGACAGCATAACGGGGCTCAAAACTGAAGTCAAATTGTAACTTTAAATCATGCCTTTAACATGCTGTCCCTGCTGTCTTTTCAGTTAAACGCTTTGGCTCCGACGTTCCCTTTTGGGCCGTCCCAGGCCTCTGTCATCCTGGAATCTGCTGCTCCTAATGAGAGACATAAAATTCAAATTTAATGGCAGTGTTCATTTTAACTAAGAACTCCTTTCCTTCAGTGACTAGCAAGCTAATTTAGCATGCTTTTTAATTGATAAGTTATTTCCCTAAGCTGGGTTCATGGTCCAATTGAACTGGCCAGTATCTCAATTAGATTTGCCAGGAAAGTCATATATAAAATACTGTTTAGGCTTACTAAGCTAACCTTTTCAGTTAAACCAACCCCTTTACTGCTTATAAAGGAAAGATAAACAGATTAAAATGCTTTGTCATTACAATTTTTGCGCTGGGGTGATAGAAAACGCTCTCCAATTACAGCAGAACTGAATGTTCTCCACCATGACCACATTGACGATATCGTCTACTTGAGGTACGTATCCATCAGGAATTTTCACAGACTCCAAGGTGAAAAAGATAGTATAATCTATCACCCCATTTCTTCCATGTACGCTAGTAATGCGGACCTGTGAGTACAAATAATGGAAATGATTATGAAAAAGTCTGATAATCACTGTAACCTGCTGTGCACCTCCTCCATTCTGGGTCCTGCATGAGTGCAGGCGACTTTGATGCAAATCAATGATTCCCAACCTGGTTGGTTCATTGCTAACACCAGGGGTACTTTGTAAGAATACCCACGTCCATGCTGCACCCCAGACCAATTAAATCAGATTCTCCAGGGATGAGACCGGAGTCTCTGATGAGAAATCCTGCTCTAAATATTACCAAAATATGTTCATTACCCTCTATTGCCCTGAACTGCCTGCTCATATTCAGACTCCAATAACTAAATCGTTCTCAGCATTTACTGGTAAGCTCAAGTCCCACAATATACTCCGCTCATTCTTTCCCTACAATTTTTCTGGCACAAAGATTGTTTTTCTTCCTCCTGTTGTTGGAAGATTCTAATAACATTTGGGTATCGAGTAAAATGCACAATTTAGAACTTAATCATGTGCTTGTTCCACATAATTTTCTAATTATTTCCTTTGGGAAGTCCTGCCTTTTCAATAAGAAAAGTGGCTCCTTCATTGGCAAAGAATGTATTTCTTCATATTTTCTGTTATTCCCATTATGCCCAACAGAATCCTGGGCACCAAAATTACCACCAAAGGAAGTGTTATCAGAAACTGATGACGGGAGGAACCGGAAAGAAATTACCTCTTCCACATGAATACAACGGGTGGGCTTCACAGAGCTTGCCTTGATGTTTGAGATGCTTAGCTCGGTGGCATATTCAACTTCTAACAAGTCACCCTTATAAGGCACAAAATCTAAAACAGTCATGGAGAAATACGAGTGTCATGATCTCTTAACTAGGTCACGTTTAATTTCACACGTTATTTGATAGTGTACTACTTTAAAGTCAGTTCTGCTAGAACTAAAGTCCATTTTGCACATATTTAAACAGATACACTGTAAATCTCTAAGTTCGAAAAGATATTTATAAGTCTTAGGCATTGATTCTCCTCTACTGATTTAACAAAGTCAAATGGAGGAAAGTGTGAACCATGCATCACAGTTAATCTAAGGGGGCAGCACAGGATTTACTAAACAAACAAGTTGTTCCTGTTCACAACTCCTTAGTGAGAGGCAGTCAAAAGTATAGGTAAGAGCACAAGTTTGAACCTGGCTACGTGGCTTCGAATCTTGACACTGCCACTCACTCAGCTGTCAACCTTAGCCAAGGTGCTTAATCTGTCTGTGCCTCATTTTCTTCATCTATAAAATGAGAAGCACGATAAGTAGCCTTCATGATACGCAGCTGCTGTGAGAATTAGTTGATATGTGCGATACACACAGGATCATCGCTGGCGCATAGTAACCACCAAATAACTGTTGATTGGTAGTAGTGGTTGCAGTACCACTAGGAAATGTTACTTTCAGAATCAATGAATTTCCCCTGATGTTGTGTTCAGCTGATGAACTCTTAAGGCTGTGCCTTACAGGTTATAGTTAAGACCACGGAGTTTCAAACTGAAGTTTACAGTAAGTTAAAAGTGAGTCACAGGATAACAAAGTTACATGAAAGAATGTGGAGCAAATGAAAATCCCAACTGCAAGTGAGACAGTAAATTGCCACAATGACTCCAGAAAACTAGCAATATCAACAAAGTGAAACAATTCTCCACCTTAGGATCCGGCATTGTAGAATGACACTAGACACAGTGTTAGACTTCTTCTCTCTCTCTCTCTCTCTGTTAATTTACACACATTTCTTTAGTGTGTGTGTACCGTATATCTATGGGCCAATGACTCTAAAATGTATATGCCTCCAACTCTAACCAACCTCAGGTTCAATTCTCCATATGCTTACATCAATCTAAGGTGTGTAAAGCTGAGCTGTTGGTATTCTCAGTATTCACCAACTTTTGCTTGCCTCAGTCGTCTACGTCACAAACTGGCCACTCCACCCTCACCACTGCTCAAACAAAAGACTTTGGAGGTACCTTGGACTCATCTTTCCTCCACATCAAAGATCTAATCCATTACCTCCTGGGTTCTTCTCTAACTTCAAAATATATCCAGAGTCAACTCAATCCTTAGGTCCTCCACTTCTCCACTTTCATTCACATCTCTATCAACTCTCACCAGGAATATTACAACATTATCCTGACTGATTTCCTGACTCCACTCTTCCCCTCATAGTCTCTTCTTGACAAAGCAGACAGAGTCAACATCTTAAAACAAAATTCAGGTCAGAGTCCTGTTTTTGCACAAAAGAAACAAACTAGCAAGCTGCCTGGGGAAGCAGAACTATTCTCCCCCTTTTTACCCAAGCTATATGACAGCTGCAATAGACAAAAGTAACAAAAAAAGTGTATCTTTGGGTATAAGCTAAATATTAGAACACATCTGCTGATTACAAAGAGAATTCAACAACACACACACACACACACACACACACACAGCCACAAGGCACTATCTCCAATTCTGTTTAAAGCATTCTTTTAAAATTTGGTAGTCTACTCTGTCACAGAAACTTCTCTAGTAACCAACTACAGAAATGATCCCTGCAAGTATTGTCTCTGAAGGGTATTAAAAATAGTGTCTCTATGTACTTGTAGGATTGTTTTCTTGATTAGAGATTAAATTATCATGTGAATGAAAAATATATCGAGGCATTACTGAGGGAATCAAACAAATGAACACACAATAGACGACAGCAGACATTTTAAAATACTGCCTATTTGCCCTTATATTGCACATAATTTCAACTGGAAAGGTTTACCTCTAATATTGAAGAGCCATTGACTGAAGCCAAGTACACTGTAAAGGTTGTTCTAGGACTAAAATCCTCTCAAAAAATTAAGAATTACATCATATATCTCAAAATCTAAATCATACCTTCAGCAGCAATGTCTATGGAGCAATAAATGCTGTCACTAACATAAATAGTATCTTCACTTATAGAAGTAACACATGCAATTAAAAGTCTGGTTCCTGAGTCTGAGGGTCCAGCACCGTAAAGACAGTGAGGCACAACATCCACCTGTAAGATTTACGAAAGAGTTACTTCAAAAATAATACAAATTTAAGCATGAGAACTTACATGGTTAAAACACTGGTATCCAAAAATATTTTCAACAGCCATCCTAAACACTGGTGAATATAGTTCATGTGGTAAATGGACCACAGACTTGAGATGATGGTAAATATCATGTGTTTGCTTCATGAATTGTGAAATGTATCCCAAAATATTAATTGCGTACCCAAGTTTAATGCCCTTGAACCACTAGATTCCCAGATTTAAAAAATACCATCCTTTACCCGCAGGAATTTGCAGTGAAATGACAGTAAAGTGGAAAGATACCTAGTCGTAAGCAAGTTGCGATGAAGGATATAAAACTAGCTCAAAGACGGTTTCTGTGAATTATCTAGAGGGAGAATATTTCAGACAGGGAGAAAATAGCGGCATTGCTTGGGGGAAGTCAGATTTGTGCTGGGTTGTGAAAGAAGACAGAGGTGTAACCTTGTAAACAGGGGTAGAGGAGCAGGGAGACAGAGGAAAAACAACAGAAGTTAGGAGCCTAGGGAGCAAAACCCTAACATTTGAGATCCAGGCCTAGGAGACAGAAGCACAAGATAAAGTTGGAACAATACCCTCAACTGGGAGAGGTTCAATAAACCAGGTCAAATTAGGGCTTTACTTTATCTACAATAGAGAGGCATACAAACCTTTTTCCTTACTGGAAGTGTAATAGTCCTTATTTTATAATCCTTAAAACTTACAGAAATAATGCAAGTTCATTATACTAAAAGTAGAAAAAAAAGCAGATAAGCAGACAGCAAAAAGCAGTTACCCCATAATCCATATTCCATTACCGAGAGACCACCAGGGACTACATTTTGGCAGTAACACTCATCCTTATGTTTTCACCTGTGCACAAATACATATATATCAGTTTTAAAAGCAAATTAGCACTGTATTCGGTATTAAAATATCACCTAAAATGAACACAAAAGTTTTTAAATAACACGAGAAGGGAAGGAGTCATAGGGAATCCCAGTTAATGGATGTGCTGTAATTTACTAACCCAATTCCACGTAATTAGACATTTTGCTTGTGTCCTAACATTTGGACTACTTGTCTGACTTAACTATAGGATAAACTCCTAGGGTTGGAATTTTTTGTTCAAAGACTTCTGATGGAAACTTGAGCCACTGAGTCGTAATTGATTTTCATGGTTTTAAAAATACCCTAGTTTGCTGCTCTTCACATTTCTTAACTGGTGTCTTTCCAGCTGTCAATACCAATCTGATGTTTATTTCTCCCTCACTTACTGTCATGAGGAATGAGGCATTAGCTTCCCGTCCACTATCTACCACCACTTCCGTCGGTATCCCAGTGGATGACCCACAGCACCCTTGGAGCTCTCTGTTCTTTGACTCCACACCAACTCACAGACATACTGCAGACTAAAGCTTTGCCCATGTTTCGTGGCTCCCAACACTGTTTCTTATGCCTTGGAAATACCACCAACACAACAGCAGGTACAAACAGATACAAATGTTTGTGGTAATGTGTTGTATGACATAAGTGGCATTTCAATACGATAGCGGCAAAGTGGATTATCCAATTAATGTTGAGGGCAACTGAATAGCCAGTAATGAAACAAGACGCAGATCCTTCTCTCAGTCGTATACACAGAAAACAAACCCAGGCTGACTATATGTTTAGATATAAATAAATTAATGACTTCCAGAAGAAAAGCTAAGTGAATACTCATGTAAATTATGTGTTAGAATTAGTCTAAGGTTACTTCCTGAACACAGAAGTCACATGGACAAGATGGACATATTTATAGTATGTAAAAATTAAACAGATGGGGGAGGAGGGGAGCAAGATGGAGAAAAGGGACTGTCCAGTGATGGTCCCCCTGCAGAAACATCAATGTGAAAAACTATCCTTGTATGAAAATACCGTCACTTGAGAGAAGAAAACCAGGTGAGAGGCCATGGTACCCAGTTGTAGCATGAAAATAAGAAAAGATGCATTGAAGAGGGTAGTAAAGACAGTTTTACATTACCCACATCACCCCTTCCCCAACCTTCAACAGCACAGCATGGAGACAGATACCATCCACCTGGAGGAAAGAGAGTAGCAAGCATAGGACATTGCCTTGGAACCCAATAGCAGGCCTTTCACACTATGTGCCACCACTTGACAGAAGCCCATGTCCCCTGACTCCAAGATGGTACTTGTGGACCAAATCTCTAGGCTCACCCTGGCACCAGACAGGAAGCCACAGCCACAGCAAAACAAACTCAATACCTGGCCCACATCTCTGCCAGTGATTCCACTGGCCTTATGCTCAGAATATTCTACTACAACAGGGAGTTGTCAGTGAATGGAGCCTTGGATTCCAGTCTTGCAAGGCACCAGACTCAATAGTTAAGGGAGTGCATGCCATTGAAGCATCTGTCACTGTGTCCCTGGGATTAGGACGCCCCCAAGTGCTTCAATAGCTGCAGTGTTCACAAACATAAGGACCAAAAGAGACCTATATAGAGTTTCCGGACAGGCTTACTGCTAAAGGATGTCCCCTAAAAGCTAGACTGCAAAGACTGAAATGAATACCTACTTCTTCAATATGCAGATATAAACACATGACCACAAAGATCAAGAACAATAAGGAAAACATGACATCACCAAACTGACAAAACAAGGCTCCAGCAATTGACCCTAGAGTGATAGGAATGTATGAGTTGTTTAACAAATAATTCAAAATATCTATTTTCCACATGCTCTGTGAACCTCAAAAACAATTACGGAGAAATGATTGAGACTTTACCAGAGTAATTTGAGAGAAAGATTGAAGGAACTTAAAAAGCCAAACAAATCCTGAAATCAAAAAATACAATGAAGGAAGTACACAATAGAGAACATCCACAGGAAAATTGATTGAGCAAAATAAAGAATCTGTAAACTTGGAGACAGCTTCATCGAAAATACTCAGTCAAAGGAGACAAAAGAAAAAGGAGGGACACAAAAGGAAAAAAAACTTATTGGATTTTTGGACAATATCAACAGGGCAATAGTATGAGTCATTCACATTCAAGAGGAAGGAGAGATTGAAAAAGGGGTAGAAAGATTATTTAAAAAATAATAACAGAGAGCCATCCAAACCCAGAGAAAGTTACAAACGTCTAGGTACTGGAAGACCAAAGTTCTGCAGTAAGATACGATCCAAATAGATTACGTCATGACATATTAAAATCAAAGTGTCAAAGATGAAAGAGAAAGAGAGGATCCCGACAGCTGCAAGAGGAAAGACGTGAATCACATATGAGGCAGTTGCAATATGCCTACCAGAACACTTCGCAGCAGAAGCGTAATAGGCCAGAAGAGAGTGGGATGATATATTCAAAGAGCTGAAGGAAAAAAAAAAATCTCTAAACAAGAATAATGTACCAAGAAGTGAAGGGGAGATAAAGACTTTTACAGAGAAATCACAGCTGAGAAACTTCATCACCGCCACAACTGTCTTACAAGAAAGCCTATGGAGAGTTCTTCCAGCTGACATAAGTGTGCTAATGAGTAATGCAAAAACATCTGGAGGTATAAAACTCACTAGTGAAAGTAACCACACCAATTCAGAATACTCTAATATGGTAACAATGGTGTCCAGATCTCTTATATCTTTCACATAATGGTTAAGGAACGGAACTAGTAAAAATAAAATAAGCACAATAATTTGTTAAGGGATATAAAACATAAACAGGTGTAAAGTGTAAAACAGAAAACTCAAAATCCGAGGGTGGAGTTAAATGATAGAGTGTTTTTATTTTGTGATCAAAGTTATGTTATCAGTAAAATAAACTGTTGTGATTATGTTTTTGTAAGCGTCATACTAACCACAAAGAAAAAAATCATGTAATAGACACATTTTAAAATATCAAGTAAACAAAACATACTAATAGAGAAAAATCTCTTATCCATCAAGACAGACAGTAAAAGAGGAAGAAGAAAGGCAGAATTTACCTACAAAATAAGTAGAAAAAAATTGTCTAAATGACAACAATAAATCCTTACCTATCAATAATTACCTTGATAGAAATGGATGACATTCTCCAACTAAAATACACAGAGTAGCTGAATGGATTAAAAACAACAATAACCAAACCTATGAGAGACCCACTTCTCCTTAAAGGACATTCGTAAACTGAAAGTGAAGACATGAAAAAAGACATTCTTCCATGTAAAAGGAAACCAAAAGAGAGCAGGAGCAGCTAAACTGATTTCAAATAAAATAGGCTTTAAATCGCAAACTGTGAAAAGAGACCAAGAAGATCATTATATAATGATGACGGGGTCAATTCATCAAGAGGATATAATGATTTTCAAAAATATGCACCCAACATAGCAGCACTTAAATATATGAAGCAAATATTAAGGTCCAAATGCTGAGATAGAGTGCAATGCAATAATAGTAGGTGACTTCAATATCCAACTTGCAACAATGAATAGATTGTTCAGACAGAACATTGACCCCACAAAAAGTGAGATTTATCTGCACCCCGGAGCAAATGAACCTAACAGTCATTTACAGAATATTCCATCCAAATACTGCAAAACACATATTCTTTCCAACTGCATGTGGAACATTCTGGAGGATAGATTATGGGGCAGGCCACAAAACAGGTACTAGCAAATTAACGGAGTTTAAAATAACATCAAATCACTTCTTTAACCACAATGGTAAAACACTAGGAATCAATAAAAGAAGGAACTTTGGAAACTTTAAAAGTAGATGGAAATTAAACAACATGCTCCTAAATAACCAATGGGTCAATGAGGAAATTTAAAGAAAAGTGTAAAACATTTCTTGAGATAAAGCAAAATGAAGGCACAACACATGAAAACCCATGAAATACAGCAAAAGCAATTCTAAAAGTGAAGTTTACATCAATAAAGCCTACCTCAGAAGAAAAGATACATCTTAAATAAACAACCTCACACTGCACCTTGAGGAACAAGAAAAAATATATAATTCAAAAGTAGTAGGACATAAATCATAAAAGTCACAGCAGAAATAAATGAAATAGACATGAGAAGAACAATACAAATATCAATGAAACTATGAGTTGGTTTCTTGAAGAGGTAAAGCAAATCAACAAAACTTTAGCTAGACTAAGGAAAAAAGAATATTCAAATAAATAAAATCAAAGTTGAAAAAGGATTTTTTCAATTGACATCACCAAAATAAAATGGATCATAAGGACTATTGTGAACAATCATCTGCCTACAAATAGGACAAGCCAGAAGAAATGGATACATTCCTGGACACATACAACCTATCAGGATGTAATGGTGAAGAAATGGAAACTCTGAACAGACAATTAACGAGTGAGGAAAGTGATACAGTAATAAAAAATCCCCCATCAATTAAGAGTCTAAGACAGAATTACCTCCCATCTTAATAATACCAAATTTATAAATAAAGAAGAATTAATAGCTCTACTTTTAAAAGTATTCCAAAACCAAAACCAAAAACAAAATAAGAAAGGAACACTTCCAAATGCATTCTATCACACCTGCATTACCCTGGTAGAAAACCCAGACAAGGAGACAGAAAAAAGAGAAAACAAGAAAACTACATGCCAAAATTCCTGATGAACACAGTTGCAAAAATCTTTAAGAAAGTATTAGTAAACCAAATTCAACAGCACATTAAAAACATCATTCATCGTGTTCCAGAGGGATTCATCCTGGGATGTAAGGAAGTTTCAACATGCACAAATCAATAAATGTGACATATCGCATGAATGAAGCACAAAAGCCATAGGATCATTCCAATTTAAGCAGGAAAAGCATTTGACCGAATTCCACATCCCTCTGTGATAAAAACTCCACAAACTTGATATAGGAGGAGTGCACCTCAACACAATAAAGGTCATATATGGTAAACACACAGGTAACATAATACTGAATGGGGGAAATGTTGCAGGCTTTTCCTCTAAGACCTAAAGCAAGACAGAAATGTCCACTTTTGCCCATTCTATCACACATAGTTCTGGAAGTGCTAGCCAGAGAAATTAGGCAAGAAGAAACAAAAGGCATCTAAATTTAAAAGGAAGAATTTAGATTGGCCCTGTTTGCAGACGGGAAACTCTTACATATAAATAACCCTGAAGACACCACCGAAAAGCTTCTAGGTCTAATAAACAAATTCAGGAAAGTGGCACAACACACAAATAACATGCAAGAATCAGTAGCATTTCTACACACCAATACTGAACTATCAGAAAAATATATCAAGAAACAATCCCATTTAGAACAACTTCAAAAAAAATAAAATAGGAATAAATTTAACCAAGGACGTGAAGGATTGCAACACCGAAAACTATATATAAACCATTGACGAAGGAAATTGAATGAGGCAGGAATGAATGGAAATGTATCATGTGTTCATGGACAAGAAGAATAAATATTGTTAAAATGTCTGTATCCTAAAGAAATCTACAGATTCAATGCAACTGCTATGAAAATACCAATGACATTCTTCTTGGAAATAGAGGAAACACTCCTAAAATTTGTATGGAACCACAAAAGATTCCAGATAGCCGAAGCAGTCTGAAATACAAAGACAAAGCTGGAGGCATCACACTACTTGATGTCAAAACATATGACAAAGCTATAGTAAGCATAACAGCATAGTACCAGTATAAAAACAGATACATCAACCAATGGAGCAGAATACACAGACTGGAATGAAATTCGTGCATTTACAGTCAACTGATTTTCGACAAAAGGCCCGAGAACACATAATGTTGAGAAAGTACAGTCTCTTCAATTAATGATGTTGAAAATAACTGAATATTCATCTGAGAAAAATGAATTTCCACCCTTATCTCTCAGCATGTATATAAATCAACTCAAAATGACTTAAAGCTTTAAAAGGAAGACACAAACCTATGAAACTACAAGAATGAGACATAGGGGGAAAGCTCCATGACACTGTTCTGGGCTATGATATTTCAAAAATAGGACCTCAAAAACAAAGGCAACAAAAGAAAAAACAGACCAATGGGAGGTTACATCGAACTAAAAAGCTTTGATACCACAAAGGAAACCATCAAAGAGTGGAGAGATAATCTATAGGACAGGAGAAAACATTGGCAACCTATACATCTAGTAAGGGATCAGTTTCCAAAATGTATGAATAACTTCAACAACTCAATAGCAAGAAATCAAATAATCCTATTAAAAATTAGCAAAAGACCTGAATAGACATTTCTCAAAAGGAGACATACAAACGGCCAACAGGCATATGAAAAAATGCTCACCTTCTTTAACATTGGGATAATGCAAATCAAAACCATAGAGGTACCACCTCACGCATGTTAAAATGGCTAACACTAAAAAGAAAAGAGATAACAAGTGGTGGCAAGGATGTGAAGAAATTGGAACATTTATGCACGGTTTGTGGGATATAAATTGTTACAGCCATTAAGGAAAACAGTATGGAGGTTCCCCAAAATTTTAACAATGGAACTATCACACTATCCATGAATCCCACTACTGAGCATGTATTCAAAGAGAGTGTCATCAGTGTGTCAAAGAGATGGCATCACTTCCATGTTTATTGCAACCCTATTCACAATAGGCAAGAAACAAAAGCAAACTAAGCGTCCATATACAGATGAGTGGATAAAGGAAATGTGGTATAAATATACAATGGAATACCATTCAGCCATAAAACACAACTAAATCTTGTCATTTGGGATAACATGGATGAACCTGAAGAATGATATGTAAGTGAAATACACCAGTCACACAAAGACAAATATTGCATAGTCACATTAAATTGAGGATTATAAAGAAGTTGCTCTTATAGCAGTGTAGAGTAGAATAGTGATTACCAGATGCTTGGTTTGTTAGGGTGGATGGAGGAATGAGGAGATGTTGTTGAAAGAAGATATAATTACAGTTATAAAGAAGGAACCTTTTTTTTTTAATCTAACCCAACTTTCCAATTTATTAAAAATTGAAGGAACCTTTTTTAACTGTCCAGAATGGGCAAATATATACAAACAGAAACTGGATAAGTGATTGCCTGGGACTGGATGTTACGGGGGGAGGGGACAGTTGGGAGAGCACGAAGGAATGGAAAAAGACTACGAATGGTTATGGAGTTTCCTTTTTGAGTGATGAAAATGTTCTAAGATTGTTTGTGGTGATGGTTGCCTAACTCTGTGACCAAATTAAAACTACTGTATTGTACCCTTTAAATGAGTGAATTGCATGGTCTTGTGACTTATATCTCAATAAATGCTGTAAAAGAATGAAAGACTTAAAGCAAAGGAAAAAGATGGTATCGGACGAAATACTACAAGGGCTTCTAATACAAACTTTCCTGTTAAAAATCTAATTTTCCTACCACAGAGATAGCCGTAAATATCCCTAATGTATAAGTAGTTCTAAGAAAGGAAACTTGCTATAATCTTATTAAGACCCTTAATAATTCCAAATGAATGATGAGACTGCTTTTCCCTTCTCATATTTGCAAAGATTCAGATTGATAATATTGCTGTCCTTGCCTATATGGGCAGATGGGCAGTCTCACAGCCTATTGCTGAGAGAATCAATCAGTACAATAGAGCTAAAGAATAATTCTGTAGTAGCCACTGAATGGATAAATATCTGGACTCAGGTGACATTGTCAGGACTCCTTAAACTTGCAAAATGTTATTGAATTTTACCTTAAGAGAGTTTTGTGGTTTGTGAATTATACCTCCACGAAGCTCTTTTAAAAATGTCTACAGGCCGGGCGCGGTGGCTCAAGCCTGTAATCCCAGCACTTTGGGAGGCCGAGACGGGCGGATCACGAGGTCAGGAGATCGAGACCATCCTGGCTAACCCGGTGAAACCCCATCTCAACTAAAAAAATACAAAAAACTAGCCGGGCGAGGTGGCGGGCGCCTGTAGTCCCAGCTACTCGGGAGGCTGAGGCAGGAGAATGGCATGAACCTGGGAGGCAGAGCTTGCAGTGAGCTGAGATCCGGCCACTGCACTCCAGCCTGGGCAGCAGAGTGAGACTCCATCTCAAAAATAAATAAATAAATAAATAAATAAATAAATAAATAAATAAAAATGTCTACAAAGCACATGGTTTGACACAGCAATTCCACTGCTATGAATGCACACTACAGAAAATGTTTTTTTTTTTTTACCTGATGAAAGAAGTTGCAGGATTATATAGAGTTCAATAATTATTATTGTTACCCATATTGTTTAAAGATTAGAAGAATAGATAAGTAATTTTTATGTTTTAAAGCAGAAATCACTACAAATATTAGAACAGAAGAACCTATAGCTTCAGAGGGGTGGGGCTTCAAATTGCAGTTGACATCCACTCTATGGATCACAGCAGAGATGCTGGATTAATATAAGAAAAGAAAGGCCGGGCGCGGTGGCTCAAGCCTGTAATCCCAGCACTTTGGGAGGCCGAGACGGGTGGATCACAAGGTCAGGAGATCGAGACCAGCCTGGCTAATACGGTGAAACCCCGTCTCTACTAAAAAAATACAAAAAACTAGCCGGGTGAAGTGGCGGGCGCCTGTAGTCCCAGCTACTCGGGAGGCTGAGGCAGGAGAATGGCGTAGACCCGGGAGGCGGAGCTTGCACTGAGCTGAGATGCGGCCACTGCACTCCAGCCTGGGCGACAGAGCGAGACTCTGTCTCAAAAAAAAAAAAAAAAAAAAAAAAGAAAAGAAAGATGCAGAAAGAAAGCCCACTGGCATAAGACACAATTTCCAAATTCATGCACATCTCACCTTGATTGCTCTCAATGCATAAAGTGTTTTATTTTCTTCCACAACCACATTAACTTTTTGTCCAACTTTTAGAGGAACGTTGCCAGTCACAACATCACTACTGAAGTAGATCGACTCATCAATCATGCCATAATCACCACAGAAACTTGTGACAACTCCCTGCACAGTTTTCAACTGGGTGTCACCTACAAGGAAAAGAAACAAAAGTTACATTATTAGCTTCAAATGCAAACATCTACTACAAATATGTCTTACACTCACCATCTGCATAAACCTGGGCAGAGAAGCTTTTTTAATGTCTCTGATCTTGTTTTCATCTGTCAATCCACAGCAATCACGATTTTGCCTAATAGGGTTGTTGTACATTTTTAAAAATTTATTGAAATTTTAATTTTTAAATTTACAATTAATTTTTAATTTTTTCAGCAGAGTCTGGCTCCACTGCCCAGGCTGGAGAGCAATGGCGCAATCTGGGCTCGTGGCAACCTCCGCCTCCTGGGTTCAAGCAGTTCTCATGTCTCAGCCTCCCTACTAGCTGGGACTAGAGGTGCGTGCAGCCACGCCCATCTAATTTTTGAATTATTGGTAGAGACGGGGTTTTGCCATGTTGCACAGCCTGGTCCCCAACTCCTGGCCTCAAATGATCCACCCGCCTGGAACTCCCAAAGAGCTGGGATTACAGGTGTGAGCCACTGTGCCCGGTTTGTGAATATTAACTGACACATGCACATCAACTGTCTAGAGTTGTGAGTGCCTTGCACAAGAGAGTTATCACCATATCTACATATGAGAGTCTCTAAGCTTCTGCTCCTATTATATCCCTGCATCATTATCACCAACATGAAGAGTAGCACCTTCTATAGACACTTAACCATCTCAGCAGACAAAACACTAAAAGATATCTGGAGATCGAAGGCTAGCCCAAAATAAAGTCTGAATGGTTTTCTTTCTTTTGTCTTCTTCATATTATTATTATTTATTTTTATTTATTTTTTAAAATTCTACACGAGCCTAGCTGATAAGCAACATTTAGGAATCTGACTTCAGCAGTCTGCCCACACAACGGGTTCTCTGCCCTCCTATGGGATCAGATAAGTATGAGGCGTCCCATTGGCTTCAAATTACATTCCCATTTGGGATACAAGCCTAAATTCACTCGCAAATTAGGGAGTTTCTCGCCTACTGGAAATATAAATAGGCATGTGCTGCACAACCACGTGGGGAAATAGCACAGGCGGTAAAGTCTCCAAGGTCTTCTCTGTCAACACCTTCTCACTTTCGATGGACAGGAGAGTTTGGGGGTTGGTTCTCAGGAACTTGTTGGGGACTCCGGACACCTCCCCATGCACACACAGAAGATGGAGCCGCCGTCATGTGCTGTAACAGCCCGAGTCACCACAGCCTCATGCCAGGGGTGACAGAGCCCCTATTGGGAGGCTTCTGAGGTGGGGGACTAGGGGACACACAGAGGAATACCTTGTGGGAGCCCCTGCTGCTGTGGGCCCTGCTGCTGTGGACCCTGCTGCTGTGGGCCCTGCCGCTCTGCGGGGTCAGCCGTCCTCCGAAAAAAGGCCAAAGCAAGTCTCAGAAGCCTGAGCATCGTCCCAGTTATCACCACCAGCCTGGACACCGCTTGTGACAGATGAAGCACAAGACCTCCTCAGTAAAGGAAGCCCTCAGGTCACGGCGTCTCCTCAGGGACTCGCCTCCTGCTTCTCCTCCTCAGCCTCTGTGGGATGGGACCCAGACGTAAGTGAGCCCCCCTCAGGAAAGTAGGGGAAACCGCAGTCACCAAAGGAGCTCACAAGTACCCTTCTGGCTTTTCCCTCTGAGCATGCGCTCATCAGGGCCCACCCTCAACCACTGTCCAGCCAATGCGCGTGCAGTGGGTGGGTGGGCAGGTTCCTGTGGCTATTAAAAGGTGACGGGCGGGAACCTCGTGGCTCCTCCCATCAAGGCTGAGGGCACCATTAAGACGGCCTGGGGAAAATGGCTTGAGGGCTTGGGTTTTGCGTGTACTCAGGGGATACAGGGTCTTCTCTTGGGTTTCCTGGGAGGATGGGTGCCTGAAACACGGGCTGTGCAACCAAAAATCCTATTCTTGCCCTTGTATTCGTGGTGCTTAGCATAAGGACTTACCACTCAGTGAGTGGCCAATAGTTACTCCTCACCAGGAGTAACTATTTTGTGAAGAGAAGGCACCATGTGGGTAGTCAATGTTTTAGTGATAGCAAGTACGTGTCTTTTGTACTAGGACTCCCATTTTGAGTCCAGTGATAATTTATAATAGAATCATTTTATGATCATTGCTACCATGCACACATCGCTTACCTATTTATACTTACATTACTCTGCTGTACACATTACCCTTATTCATTCATTTGGCAAAATTTGTGAAGTGCTGTGAGCCAGACACTGTTCTGTGTTCTTAAAGTTTGTTAGTGAATGAAAGAATCAAGAATCTTCGCCCTGTGAGGGTAGATTTTTCACAGGATACAAAAGGGAGACACTAAACATCACATAATAAAATATATGATATGTTGGAAGGCAAAAATGCCATGGAAAAATATAGCAGGACAAGGGGAATCCACAGTACTGGGAATGGTGGGTTGGATTGCAGTTTATAATAGCATGGTCAGAGTAGCCCTCATTGGAAAGCAATAGTTGAGAAAGATGTTGGAGTTAGCCAGGCAGCTGTATTTGGTGAAGCCATTCAGATGGAAGGCTCAGTTTGTGCAAAGACCATACAGCAAGACTGTGCCTGATGTGTTCAAGGAAAGCCAAGTGGTTGGAGCAGAGGCAGTGAGGGTTAGAAGAGTAGGAAGTATGGTAAGAGAGGTAATAGAGGTTCAGGCTGTATGTGGGACAGTGGGACACTGAACGTTCTTTGGCTTTTATTGCCCATGATGTGTAAAGTCCCTGAGAGGTTTGGAGCCTCCCAGGAATCACTCCAGATGCTTGGTTGTGAATAGGCTGGAAGAGGTCAGAGCATGAAGCAAGCGGAACAGTTCGGATGATTCTGCTGCAATTCATGGGCACTGTGGATGAAAGCTGTTTGTCTTTCCTCTCCTGCAGTGAGAACAGGTAAAAGTATTGCCAAAGATGATCATCTAGTTAATGGGATCGGTTGAGGGTTATCTATGTCTCAAAATATAACACAGCTGTGTGAATTTCCTAAGGAGGCCAAAAAACATTACTACACCTTTGTGTCTTAAAACAACAAAAATTTATTCTCCGGCAGTTCTGCAGGCTATGAGTCTGAAATCAAGGTGTCAGCGAGGTTGGTTCCTTCTGGTGAGCTCTGAGGGAGAGTCTATTACAAGTTTCTGGAGGTCGCCAGTAGTCATTGGTGGCTTTCCTTGGGTTGTAGATACATCACTGCAATCACTTCCTCCTTCATCCCATGGTGCTCTTCTCCATGTGTCTGTGTGTCCAATATCCCTCTTCTTATAAGGACACCACTCACTGGATTAGGAGTTTATGACTAATCCTAATGCTGTAGGACCACATCTTAACTTGATTTTTTTTTTTTGCAAAGACCCTATTTCCAAATAAAATCACATGCACAGTTATTGGGGCTCACAAATTGTGTATATGTCTTTACGGGCAAAATTCAACCCACAACAACTGCTCTTGTACATTTTGATTACTCCAATATTCTACGATTGTCTGGAAAGTAGAACACACAGATAAGCAGACATTTCCTCTTATTTCTCAGAGAAAACAAAGGTCGTGAGACAGGAGCTCCTCTGTGAACCTCCTGGCACCCATCCTGGCTTTCTCTTCCTTCTGTCTTGTAACAATGGAAAGACATCGCAGCCCCTGGCCAGAGCAGACACTCCACTGAGCACATGGAACCATTCTCTTGACACATTTTCTCTGAGGATGTTGCTTCTATTACGACTGCCTCTCTTCCTCCTGCATCAACAATCTTTTTTTTAATCTTTGCCTCTAATGGAATAACATACACACATAGACAAGAATCACTCATCTTAAAAACTTCATAGACAAACAACTCCCTTCTATAAAATGTACATGGATAAATAAGCTTCCTTGGCCTCACTTCCCCTTCAGTCCCATTCCTGTTCATCCTGCCCCCCACAGCAAATGCTATTTCAAGAATCACCTCTGCTCACTTCCTGAGCTCCCATTCCCTCCTTATTCCTCTGGCATCAGGCTTTTATCCCCGTCAGGCCCCTAATTTGCTCTTAAAATGACAGGAAACCTCCAGGTCGCCAAATCCAGTGGTCAATATACTAGACTCTCATCACTCAACCTTACTGTTTGACCCCGTTAGGGACTCCCCATTTCTTGAGATAAGTTCTTCAGTCTTTTGCGTGACCACCCTATCCTAGAAAGACTCCTTCTCAGCCTCTTTGTCGAGATCTTCCTCCTATCAGGATCCCACAAGAGTGCTCCAGGTCTCAGGCCCTGAATGGCTTCTCTATCCACACGCCAGCCCCATAGCATCTAAATGCAGGTAACTCCCAGTCCCATGTATATACTGAGTCACACATTTGGTGGTCCCATAGACATCTCAAGGGTAAGGTGTCCAAAATTTCACATGTCCCGAGCTTCCATCAACCCTCATAGCTCCTTAAATCTTCTCCATCTCAGACGATGTCAGCTCAGTTCACACAGTGGGTTAGCATCTTATCCCTGCCAAAATCCTTAGTTTTCTCCATTTTCTTTACACGCTCCATGCCATCCATCAGTGAAAACTATTAATCTTTGAAAACATACCTGTAGTCCCACCACCTCTAAAGAGTAATTGAAAAACAATCATTGGGTCAAATTTGTTAGTTTCTATCATGACACAGAAGAAAGCAGCCAGAATCAAAGAGAGATCAGCCACTCAGACACATGAAAAGATGCCCACAACTCTTCTTGTCCCTGCTGGCAAAAATAGAGTTAATAATGGATGCTGCAGCAAGAGATTGGTGCTAAGAAATAGCCTTAGAAAAAGGTAAGAAACAGCCTTCTGGCCGGTCGCGGTGGCTCAAGCCTGTAATCCCAGCACTTTGGGAGGCCGAGACGGGCGGATCACAAGGTCAGGAGATCGAGACCATCCTGGCTAACACGGCGAAACCCCGTCTCTACTAAAAACACAAAAAATTAGCCGGGCGAGGTGGCGGCGCCTGTGGTCCCAGCTACTCAGGAGGCTGAGGCAGGAGAATGGCGGGAACCCGGGAGGCGGAGCTTGCAGTGAGCTGAGATCTGGCCACTGCACTCCAGCCTGGGTGACAGAGCGAGACTCCGTCTCAAAAAAAAAAAAAAAAAAAGAAACAGCCTTCTCTGGCAAACTTCGCTAAGTAAGACTCAGCCTCCTCTGCAGGGGTCAAACTTGCTGGCAGAGAAGCTACAGGTAGATTCCAGCACCAGGAAGACAGGTCCCTGCTGAGAGAATACTGCAGAAAAAAGAAGGGGCTCTTCTCTACCACCCTGCTGAAAACATTGTGAATGATCTCTTGTGGTGGCAGGTGCCTCCAGAGGCTGGGAACACATCAGATAAGAAATGGCTGCTGGGCTTGAGTGTCAGGGGATAAATTCCGCTGGGCCACAGAGCAGCTGTGTGCCCTCTCTTTCCTGTTTGTGTCTCTGACTTGGCTGTAGAATGTTTCACCCTCAAATTAGGGAGACTGACTCACACTGAAAATATTGAAAACAATGTGTCCGTGGTCACTGCTATCAAAAACCTCTTATCACAAACACCTGCTTACTTTTCTTTATGTCACTAACTGCTAGACGGAAATTCTTACTTATTCATATGCTTGTCAGAGTGTTGTCTGTCTCTTCACCCTTGTGTATCAGCTTCATGACTGCAGAGCTTTTGTTCATTGTTGCTTTTTCTGTCTGCTGGGGCCTCAGCATCTGGAACAGTGCTGGGCACATGGTACGTTCTCAATAAATACCGCAGCAAATAATCAAATCAGAAAAGAGTAACATCCTGAACCGTTCCAGGCAACCTGTGAGAGGATCTGGTTTTAAGGCAAATCACACCAAATCTGAATACTTTGCTTTCAATTCTGCATCTATATAAACAGTATTTGGCCTCATTCAGGGTAACGTTACAGCTGGCTGTAAACGTAAGAGCTGTAGTTCGGAAGACATTAGATCCCGGCTCAACTCAGCTTTTTCCTGGCTTTACAACCTGTCCTCAGAAGTCTGACCACAGCGACACTTGTAAGTAAAATCGGCCAATAAATTGGGTTTTCTTGCATGTCAGTGATTTAGTCTCCCTTGTGTACATGAGTTGCGCCATGGAATACAATGTTACTCCTTCCGTTACAAAAGCTACACTGGAAATAAGTTTTGGATTAGTGTTTAGACAAACGTTTCTTTAAGAATAGTGTGGCCGGGCGCGGTGGCTCAAGCCTGTAGTCCCAGCACTTTGGGAGGCCGAGACGGGTGGATCACGAGGTCAGGAGATCGAGACCATCCTGGCTAACACGGTGAAACCCCGTCTCTACTAAAAAAAATACAAAAAAACTAGCCGGGCGAGGTGGCGGGCGCCTGTAGTCCCAGCTATTCGGGAGGCTGAGGCGGGAGAATGGCGTGAACCCGAGAGGCGGAGCTTGCAGTGAGCTGAGATCTGGCCACTGCACTCCAGCCTGGGCGACAGAGCTAGACTCCGTCTCAAAAAAAAAAAAAAAAAAAAAAAAGAATAGTGTGACAAGGCTTTAGACGACCTGTACCAATACATACATTATTCATTATGATTTAATGGATGGGGGCAATTCCCATCCATGGGAATTTTGGGATACTCATGTGATGGCAGTTTTCCCAATTCATACCTTTGTTTTTCAAAACACAATGAGTGTATGGATTGCTTTTATTTGTCACATAATGTCAATGTCAGCTCTCTGTTGTCTTAGCTTGGTCTGCTGTAACACAACACCACAGACATTTATATCGCACAGTTCTGGAGGATGTGAGGTCCAAGAAGAAGGTGCTGACTGATTCGGTTCTGGGCAAGGGCCCTCTTTGTGGCTCAAATATGGTCACCTTCTCGCTATTTCCTTCCATGGAGGAGTTGGAGCAAGTGCTGACTTCTTTTCCTCTTCTTCTAAGGATTCAAATCCCATTATGGGGCTCTACTCTCATGACCCCATCCAAGCCTAATCGCCTCCCAAAGGCCCCACCTGCATATATGATTACATTGGGGATTATGGCTTCAACAAAGGAATTTTTGGGGAACACAGATGTTTAGTCCCCCTAACCACTGTGAGGTATGTTCTTTATGCTGTCAAAATTACTTGTACCATTTCTTTTTTTTTCCTTTTTTTTTTTTTTCTTTTTTTTTTGATGGAGTCTTCCTATGTCACCCAGGTTGGAGTGCAGGAGAGCGATCACATCCAGCTAAATTTTCTTGTATTTTTACTAGAAATGAGGTTTCACCATATTGGCCTGACTGGTCTCAAACTCTTGACCTCAGGTGATTCCCCCTGCCTCGGCTTCCCAAAACGCTGGGATTACAGGCATGAGCCATCAAGCCTGGCCACATTTTGCTTCCTTTCAATGGAACTTCAACAACAAGGTTATGCTTTTTACCCTTTGTATAGACAGTAGGCCTTCAACTATTCAGAGGATTTGGGGAATGAAGTTTCTAATCCACATCATTTAGGGTTAACTGGGGCAATGCTCTTAGGAAAGTGAAACAGCTGTAAGATGAGGTGAACTAACTTCCTCCCACTTATGAGACCAATACGAGTGCTAACTGATCAGAGTCCTCAGTCGTGGATGTTTAGACCGATAGCCCTTAACCAACCCCAAGACTTCACTCTTCTGGCCAGGCCAGCAGATCTGGAAAGAAACTCATGAAGCACTTAACCCAGGCTGTCCTGGGTGACTAATACCATGAAATGGTGATTAAAAGCTAGTTCTGTGAGGAGTTCCAAAGGCAACAGAGAACCTTTTTCTCTAGCCCTCCCTTCCCTGGAAACCAGGGTACGCAAGCTTAGGGAGGCAGGCAGGGAACCTGCCAAAAAATGGTTCCAAGGAAGCCTCCTGTAAGCCAGGGTCCGTGAGAAGAGGGAGTTAGAGAACAGATGGAAGGGTACCCAATGTAGGAGAGCATATATGGCAGGATTGTGCAAAGAAGTAAATACACAGAGGTTAATGGAAGGTAGGGTTCTCCAAAGCTGAGAAGGAAACAATACACGTGGAAATGTGGAAAGAGAGGAAAACTGAATAAACTCTATATTTCTGGGCTGTTACTGGAGGTTTACGTGCAACCTCAAGTTCACCAAAAGATGTAAGAGGTTCAATTCGAAACACCGTATTCTCCAACACCAAGGGAATAGGGATCCTTGTAAATATGGCTGATTAAGTAGCATTTGAAATTTTGATAAAACAGAGAACTACATACTAAGCATAACTAAGAGGAGTTGTTTACATTCACAGAGCATATCCCTTTGGCAGATGTACAGTTAAAGATTTATGCATCCCACAAGAGGAGTGAAATGATGAACCAGAATCTCTGAAAGCTACAAGTGGTTAGAGGATGAAACCACGATCATGATGAGAGACTTCAAGGTGCCTCTTTGATTAACAGTGTGCATAATCATGACAACAAGAACACCGGGTTCAATCTATTGGGCCCTGATTAAGCTCTGGGTACCTAAACAGAACTTTATGTTTTGAGAATCATTGCAGGCATCAGGCCAGAATTGGCAGAAGGGCCAGAGCTTGCCAAACCTGGCTAAAGATCATTATCTTATTTCGTTTTCTTCATTGCATGTATCTCTAAATGAGCAGAGAAGCATCTGATATCAGCACATCTGCAACACCTTCATGGTGTGCCAGTTGGAAGCTCCGTGGCATAACACTGGAGTCCCAGAAACTCGTGGTGACAGGTCCCTGTATTTTCAAGCCAATTCCTTCACATGTGAGAAAAGCACATTTCTGACAGAGTCCACTATTTCCTATTCCCTGGGTCCTTCTGTCCTTGTGCCATGAGGGCATACATTTAGGGACACAGATGTGATGAGGGTGAGATGATCAAACACAATTCATTCTCAGTTGTGGGAAAGAACCTTGGAGTTAATTCATCTCTGAGGCAAAATATTCAAAATGCACCGCCGCTTGGTCGGCCTTATGAAAGCAAAGCAGTTCTGGGCTTTGCTATTTGAAAGTAGAGGAAATGTGTCCAATCCCCACCACCTGCCCAGCTGAACTGCTGCCTCCCAGGTGATCCTCAGTCCGGTGAGGAAGTTTGTGAAACAGCAGCTGTGACTGAATCACCAGCTGATTGGGCTTATCATAATGCATTATAACTCCCAGAGACCATTCTTCCACATCAACCAAACTGCAGAATTAAGTGGGAGGTAGTGGAAGTCATGGCCCTTGCATCTCTCAAGTCTAACGTGGACTGCTCTGTAATTCCACAGGGTGTGGGGCTGCTTTTGAATGACGACATTCACAGGCACCTGGTGTTGCCACATCTCCCGCTTGCCCCTTTCAATCATAGGAGCTACTGCTGCATGGGTCAGGAAGCCAAGGACGGTTAGGGGGTGGGGGCATTGAAAGAACACAAGTTCCATTAGGGCCTGGAATTTTGTCCTTTTGATTAAGGGTATAACTCTAGAGCCTCAACAGTGCCTGGCACACCAAAGAGAGTCAGTAGGATTTTGTGGAGTGAACCAGTGAGTGAAAATGGGAACTCTACGAGACCTTCACTGTTCCTATCAAGTGGGAAACAAATCCCTGGATGATTGGGAGGTCTCACTGGATCTGTAGTGGAAAGTTAAAACACAACTCTATTTAAGGACTGGGGGTAATGGTGGAATTATGAATCACAGGAGTCAGGGTAAGTTCACAACCACATTCAAGCTACGCCCATAGGTCTGAATACATCCCTTCCCCTAGGTCACAGTTACCCGGTTAACTGTTCTGTTAGACGAAAGCATGAAATTTCATGGGATATATTTGTTGCATTTTAGTATAACCCTTCCCGGTGGGTAAGCAGGTTGTCCTTCCTTCAAAAGCTCTGTGTTTGTATTTTTCTTCATAACTGCACATGAGCTGCACCCCTGCAACAAAGTGGCTTACAGAGGCTCATTTGCAGCAGAGTCTGTTTTCCGTGATTGTTGGTGTTGTTAAAAAGTCAAGAGAGGTCTTAATGCATTGCTCAACAATTTTATTACTAAGGAACCGGTGATGAATGAGGCACAGCTAAATATCATTGCTGGCCCAATCATTCAGTCATTGAAGTTAATAACATTTTATCTGCTCCTTGAGTCTGTGACACCTTCTTCTAAGTGTTGGTGATGCTTTAATGAAAGAAAAAAGAAAAAGAAAGAAAGAAAAAACAGACCAAAACACATCCTGCCATTGTGGAGTTCACATTCTAGCATGGGGAAGAAGGAACACAAGGAAACAATAAACATTGCAAATTATGTGAATGACAGAAGATGAAAGAGATTATGGAATAATACAGATTGTACAGACAGCATAAGGGGGACTCAAAACTGAAGTTAAATTGTAACTTTAAATCATGCCTTTAACATGCTGTCCCTGCTGCCTTTTCAGTTAAATGCTTTGGCTCCGAGGTTCCCTTTAGGGCCGCCCCAGGCCTCCGCCATCCTGAATCTGCTGCTGCTAATGGGAAACATGGAATTCAAATTTAATGGCAGTGTTCATTTTAATTAAGAACTCCTTTCCTCCAGTGCCTAGCAAGCTAATTTAGCATGCTTTTTAATTGATAAGTTATTTCCCTAAGCTGGGTTCATGGTCCAATTGAACTAGCCAGTATCTCAATTAGATTTGCCGGAAAAGCCATATGTAAAATACTATTTAGGCTTACTAAGCTAACCTTTTCAGTTAAACCAGCCCCTTTACTGCTCATAGAAGGAAAGATAAACAGAATAAAAAAAGCTTTGTCATTACAATTTTTGTGCTGGGATGATAGAAACCGCTCTCCACTTAAAGCAGAACTGAGTGCTCTCCACCATAATCACATTGACGATATCATCTACTTTAGGTACATATCCATCAGGAAGTTTCACAGAATCCAAGGTGAAAAAGATATTATTACTTATCACCCCATTTCTTCCACGTATGTGAGTAACGCGGACCTGTGAGTATAAATAATGGAAATGATTATGAGAAAGCCCAATAATCACTGTAAACAGCTGTTCACCTCCTCACTCTGGGTCCTGCCGGTCACTTCGATGCGAATCAATAATTCCCAACCTGGTTGACCCGTTGCTAACACCAGGGGTGCTTTGTAAGGATCCCCATGTCCATGCTCCACCACAGACCAATTAAATCAGGCTCTCCAGGGATGAGGCCTGGGTCTCTGATGAGAAATCCTGCTCTAAATATTACCAAAATATGTCCATTACCCTCTATTGCCCTGAATTTCCTGGTCATATTCAGGCTCCAACACCCAAATCATTCTCAGCATTTACTGTTAAGGTCAAGTCCCACAACACACTTCGTTCATTCTTTCCCTACAATTTTCTGGCACAAAGATTGTTTTTCTTCCTCCTGTTGTTGGAAGATTCTAATAACATTTGGGTATCGAGTAAAATGCACAATTTAGAACTTAATCAATTAATGTGCTTGTTCTACATAATTTTCAAATTATTTCCTTTGGGAAGTCCTGCCTTTTCAATAAGGAAAGTGGCTCCTTTGTTGGCAAAGAATGTATTTCTTCATATTTTCTGGAATTCCCATTACACCAAACAGAATCTTGGGCATGAAATTTATCATGAAAGGAAGGGTTTGCAGAAACCGATGATGGGAGCAACAGGAAAGAAATTACCTCTTCCGCATGAATACAACGGGTGGGCTTCACAGAGCTTGCCTTGAAGTTTGAGAAGCCTGGTTCAGTGGAATATTCAACTTTTAACCAGTCACCCTTATAAGGCACAAAATCTAAAACAGCCATGGAGAAATGTGAGTGTCATGATCTCTTAACTAGGTCATTTGGATTTCACACGTTATTTGATAGTGTACTACTTTAAAGTCAGTTCTGCAACATCTAAAGTCATTTTTGCACACATTTAAACAGACACACTGTAAATCTCTAAGTCCGAAAAGAAGTTTATAATCCTTAGGCACTGATTCTCCTCTGCTGATTTAACAAAGTCAAATGGAGGAAAGTGTGAACTGTACATCACAGCCAATCTAAGGGAGCAGCACAAGATTTACTAAACAACTGTTCGTGTTCACAATTGCTTAGTGAGAGGCAGTCAAACATGTAGATAAGAGCACAAGTTTAAACCTGCTTACATGGCTTCGAATCTTGACACTGCCACTCACTCAGTTTGCAACCTTAGCCAAGATGTTTAATCTCTCTGTGCCTCATTTTTTTCATCTATAAAATGAGAAGCACGATAAATAGCCTTCAAGATACTGAGCTGCTGTGACACTTAATAGATATTGTTGATACACACAGAATCATCACTGGTGCATAGTAACCACCAAATAAGTGTTGATTGGTAGTAGTGGTAGCAGTACCACTAGGAAATGTTGTTACTTTCAGAATGAATCCATTCCCCCTAGTGTTGTGTTCCACTGATGAACTCTTAAGTCTGTGCCTTCAGGGTTACCGTTAAGACCATCGAGGTTGAAACACAAGTTTACGATAAGTTAAAACTGACTCAAGGATAACAAAGGTACGTGAAAGAATCTGGAGCAAATGGAAATCCCAACTGCAACTGAGACAGTAAATTGCCACAATGACTCCAGAAAACTAGCAATATCAACAAAGTGAAACATTTCTTCACCTTAGGATCCAGCATTGTAGTATGACACAAGACACCACGTTAGACCTCTTCTCTCTCTCTCTGTATCTGTTAATTTACATACATTTCTTTTGTGTGGGTGTACCATATATCTATGGGCCAATAACTCCAAAATGTATATGCCTCCAGCTCTAACCAACCTCAGGATCAATTATCCTTATGCTTATGCCAATCTAACATGTGTAAAGCTGAGTTGTTGGTATTCTCCGTATTCACCAACTTTTGTCTGCCTCAGATGTCTACATTGCAAACTGGCAACTCCACCCTCACACAAGAAACTCAAACAAGAAACTTTGGAGGTACCTTGGACTCATCTTTCCTCCACATCAAAGATCTACAATGTCTACATTGCAAACTGGCAACTCCACCCTCACACAAGAAGCTCAAACAAGAAACTTTGGAGGTACCTTGGACTCATCTTTCCTCCACATCAAAGATCTAATCCATTACCTCCTGGGTTCTTCTCTAACTTCAAAATATATCCAGAGTCAACTCAATCCTCAGGTCCTCCACTTGTCCACTTTCATTCACATCTCCATCATTTCTCACCAGGAATATAAAAACGGTTTCCTGACTGATTTCGTGACTCCACCCTCTCCCTCATAGTCTCTTCTCGACAAAGCAGACAGAGTCAACATCTTAAAACAAAATTCAGGTCAGAGTCCTGCTTTTGCCCCCAAGAAAACAAACGAGCCAGCTGCCTGTGGAAACGGAGCTAATCTACCCTTTTACACCCAAGCTATACAACTGTTGCAATGGACAAAAATAGCAAAAAAAAAAAAAAAAAAGTGTATCTTTGGTTATAAGCAAAATATTAGAACATATCTGCTGATTACAAAGAGAATTCAACACACACACACACGCACACACACACAGCCACAAAGCACTGTCTCCAATCCTAAATTTGAAGCATTTGAAGTGTATTCTTTTAAAATTTGGTACTCCACCCTGTCACAGAAACTTCTCAAGTAACCAACTACAGAAATGATCCCTGCAAGCATAGTTTCTGAAGGGTATTAAAAATAGCGTCTCTGGGTACTTGTAGGATTGTTTCCATGATTAGAAATTAAATTCTTATGTGAATGAAAAATATATCCAGGCATTACTGAGGGTATTGAACAAATGAACACACAATAGATGATAGCAGACATTTTAAAATACTGCCTATTTGCCCCTATATTGTACATAATTTTAATTGGAAAGGTCTACCTCGAATATTGAAGAGCCATTGACTGAAGCCAAGTACACTGTTAAATTTGTTCTAGGACTAAAATCCTCTCAAAAAATTAAGAATTACATCATATATCACAAAACGCAAATCATACCTTCAGAAAAAATGTCCATAGGGAAATAAATGATGTTACTAATATAAATAGTATCTTCACTTATAGAAGCAACACATCCATTTAAAACTCTGAGTTTTGAGTCTGAGGGTCCATTACCGTTAAGAGGGTGAGGCACAACATCCACCTGTAAGATTTAGGAAAGAGTTACTTTGAAAATAATACAAATTTAAACACAGGAACTTACATGGTTAAAACACTGGTATTCCAAAATGTTTTCAAAAACCATCCTAAACATTGGTGAATACAGTTCATGTGCTAAATGGCCATAGACTGGAGATAATGGTAAAAATCATGTGTGTGCCTTATGAATTGTGAAATGTATCCCAAAACATTAATTGCATACCCAAGTTTAACGCCCTTGTACCATTAGATTCCCAGATTTAAAAACTACTGTCGTTCGCCTACAGGAATTCACAGTGAAATGACGGTAAAGTGGAAAGATATGTAGTCATAAGCAGGTTGCGATGAAGGATATAAAACTTGTTCAAAGATAGTTTCTGTGACTTATCTAAAGGGAGAGCATTTCAAATAGGGAGAAAATGGCGGCATTGCTTGGGGGAATTCAGATTTGTGTTGGGTTGTGAAAGAAGACAGAGGTGTAACCTTGTAAACAGGGGTAGAGGAGCAGGGAGGCAGAGAGAAGATACAACACAATTAAGGAGCCTAGGGAGCAAAACCCTAACATTCGAGATCCAGGTCTAGGAGACAGAAGCACGAGATAAAGTTGGAACAATAACCTCAACTGGGGGAGGTTGAATAAACCAAGCCAAATTAGGGCTTTACTTTATCTACAATAAAGAGGCATACAAACCTTTTTCCTTATTGGAAGTGTAATAGTCCTTATTTTATAATTTTTAAAACTTGCAGAAATAACGCAAGTTCATTGTACTAAAAATAGGAAAAAAACAAACCAGATATGCAGACAGCAAAACGCGGTTACCCCATAATCCATATTCCATTACCAAGAGACCACCAGGGACTACATTTTGGCAGTAACACTCATCCTGATGTTTTTGTCTGTGCACAAATATATATACATATGTAAATGCCTGTTTTAAAAGCAAATTAGCATGGTATTCAGTATTAAAGTATCACATTAAATTAGCACAAAGGTTTTTAAATAACAAGAAAGGGCAGAAAGAGTCATAGGGAATCCCAATTAATGGATGTGCCATAATTTACTAACCCAATTCCACATAATTAGACATTTCACTTGTGTCCAAGCATTTGGACTACTTGCCTGACTGAACTATAGGATAAACTCCTAGGGTTGGAATTTGCTGATCAAAGACTTCTGATGGAAACTTGAGCCACTGAGTTGTAAATAATTTTCCCTGGTTTTAAAGATAGCTTAGTTTGCTGCTATTCCCATTTCTTAACTGGTGTCCTTCCAGCTGTCAGTACCAATCTGATGTTTATTTTCCCCTCACTTCCTGTCATGAGGGAATGAGGCATTAGCCTCCCGTCCACGTATCTACCACCACTTCCGTCAGTATCCAGTGGATGATCCACGCACCCTCGGACCTCTTTGTTCCTTGACTCCACACCAACTCACAGACATACTGCAGACTAAAGCTTTGCCCATGTCTCATGGCTCCCAACACTGTTTCTTATGCCTTGGAAATACCACCAACACAACAGCAGGTACAAACAGATGGAAATGTTTGCAATAATGCATTGCATGTCATAAGTGGCATTTCAATAAAATAGGGTCAAAGTGGATTATCCTATTAATGTTGAGGGACAATTGAGTAGCCAGTAGGGAAACAAGACACGGATCCTTCTCTCAGTCCTGAACACGGAAAGCAAACCCAGGCTGACTGTATGTTTAGATATCAATAAATTAATGACTTTCAGAAGAAAAGTTAAGTGAATACTTGTGTAAATTATGTGTTAGAATTAGCCTGAGGAAACTTCCTGAACCCAGAAGTCACATGGACAAGATGGACATATTTATAGTATGTAAAAATTAAACAGATGGAGGAGGAGGGGAGCAAGATGGAGAAATGGAACTATCCAGTGATCATCCTCCTGCAGAAAATCAATGTGAAAAACTATCCTTGTATGAAAATACCGTCACTTGAGAGAAGAAAACCAGGTGAGAGGCCATGGTACCCGGTTATAGCATGAAAATAAGAAAAGATGCATTGAAGACAGTAGTAAAGACAGTTTTACATTACCCATATCACCCCCTCCCCAACCTTCAACAGCACAGCATGGAGACAGATACCATCCACCTGGAGGACAGAGAGAGTGGCAAGCATAGGACATTGCCTGAGAACCCAGTATCAGGCCTTCCACACTATACGCCACCACTTGACAAATGCCCATGGCACGTGGCCCCAGATGCTGAGATGGTACTTGTGGACCAAGTCTCTAAACCCACCCTGGCACCAGACAGGAAGCCACAGCCACATCAAAACAAACTCAATACCTGGCCCACATCTCTGCCAGTGATTCTACTGGCCTTATGCTCAGAATATTCTACAGCGACAGGGAGTCCTCTGAATGGAGCCTTGGATTCCAGACTCTCAAGGCACCAGCCTCAATAGCTAAGGGAATGCATGCCATTGTAGCATCTGTCGCTGTGTCCCGGGGATTAGGAAGCCCCCAAGTGCTTCAATAGCTGCAGTGTTCACAAACATAAGGACCAAAAGAGACCTATATAGAGTTTCCGGACAGGCTTACTGCTAAAGGATGTCCCCTAAAAGCTAGACTGCGAAGACTGAAATGAATACCTACTTCTTCAACACACAGATATAAACACATGACCACAAAGATCAAGAACAATAAGGAAAACATGGCATCACCAAACTGACAAAACAAGGTGCCAGTGATTGACCCTAGAGAGATAGGAATGCATGAGCTGTTTAACAAATAATTCAAAATATCTATTTTCCACATGCTATGTGAACCCTGAAAATAATTACAGAGAAATGATTCAGAATTTATCAGAGTAATTTGAAAGAAAGATTGAAAGAATTTTAAAAAAATAAACAAATCAAAAAGTCGAAAAATACAATGAAAGAAGTACACAATAGAGAACATCCACAGGAAAATTGATCGAGCAGAATAAAGAATCTGTAAACTTGGAGACAGCTTCATTAAAAATATACAGTCACAGGAGACAAAATTAAAAGGAAGGACACGGAATGAAAAAAACTTACTGAATTTCTGGGACAATTATCAGCAGAGCAATAGTATGAGTCATTCATATTCTAGAGGGAGGAATGAAAAAGAGGTAGAAAGGTTATTTAAAAAATAATAATGGGGAGCCATCCAAACCCAGAGAAAGTTACAAACATCTAGGTACTGGATGACCAAAGTTCTGCATTCAGATACAATCCAAATAAGATTACCTCATGACATATTAAAATCAAACTCTCAAAGATGAAAAATAAAGAAAAAATCCTGAGAGCAGCAAGAGGAAAGAAGCCAATCACATATTCCAATATGCCTACCAGAAGACTTCTCAGCAGAAGCATAACAGGCTAGGAGAGAGTGTGATGATATATTCAAGGAGATCAAGGAAAAAATATCTAACCAAGAATAATGTACCAAGGAGTAAAGCGGAGATAAAGACTTTTACAGAGAAATCATAGCTGAGGAACTTCCTCACCACCACAACTGTCTTACAAGAAATCCTACGGAGAGTTCTTCCAACTGACGTAAGGGATGCTAATGAGTAATGCAAAAATATCTGAAGGTATAAAACTCACTATTAAAAGTAACCACACACATTCACAATATTCTATTAAGGTAACGGTGGTGTCCAGATCACGTATATCTTCCATGTAATGGTTAAAAATGGAACTAGTAAAAATAAAATATGTACAATAATCCATTAAGGGATATAAAATATAAAAATTTGTAAAGTGTAAAATAGAGAACTCAAAATCTGGGCATGGAGTTAAATGGTAGAGTGTTGGTATTTTGTGATCAAAGTTATATTATCAATAAATAAACTGTTGTGATTATGTTTTTGTATGCCCCATGCTAACCACAAAGAAAAAAATCAAGTAATAGACACATTTTAAAATATCTAGGAAACAAAACATACTAATGGAGAAAAATCTCTTATCCATCAAGAAAGACAGTAAAAGAGAAAGAAAGGAAGAAATTACCAACAAAATAAGTAGAAAAAAATCTAAATGACAACAGTAAATCTTTACCTATCAATAATTAACTTGATAGAAATGGATGACATTCTTCAACTAAAATACACAGAGTAGCTGAATGGATTTAAACAACAACAACAACCAACCTAGGAGAGACCCACTTCTCCTTAAAGGACATTCGTAAACTGAAAGTGAAGACATGAAAAAAGACATTCTTCCATGTAGAGGGAAACCAAAATAGAGCAGGACCAGCTAACCTAATTTCAAATAAAATAGGCTTTAAATCACAAACTGTAAAAAGAGACCAAGAAGATCATTATATAATGGTGAAGGGGTCAATTCATCAAGAGGATATAATGATTTCCAAAAATATGCACCCAACATAGCAGCACCTAA